TTTAAATAATTTAATAATATTTTAAAAGATTGTATTTAATAATTTAGAATATCATTACATGTAAACAAAATATTATTTTATTAATGTAATAATATTTTAAATTGTAAAAATTTGAAAAAAGTTAAAAGTCATGCTTCTACTACAAAAGGTTAAAAAGCTTCACATTTGGACACATTTGGACATTGTTTTAAATGTAATTATGTAATATTATTTAAAAAATATTATTACTTTAATATTTAAAATGAACATATTTAATGATTTACAGTATTATTACAGGTAAACAAAATATTATTTTAATAATTTAAAATTACATTGAATAATTTAAAATATTAAAAATAACAGTAAAAAAGGAATGAGTTTTTAGTGTAATATTTTGTTATAAATATAAAATATTTAGAAATATATTTATTTATAATAATAAATATTTAAATTTGAATGGTCAAGAAAAGCTTGCCAGGTAACGTCAATGTGGAACTCATGTTTGCAACCCATTTTAATTTCGTAATGTGAAATTGAACATTTATTGACAATAAATGTAGAACAATGTATTAATTAGGATGTAAATGTATTAATTAGAAATTGATTGGATGGTAAAAAGTGTCAGGTGGCTGTAAAAATTAGAAGGCTTGATCACTTAATAAAAAGTGAATTTAGTTATTTTACATCATTTTGATAGAAAATTGCAAACATGCACTGATGAATTGTTCGTAATAAGACCTGTAATGTGTCGTAAGAAAGTAAATCGAGTCAGTTTGGATTTCACATAGACTTTAGCAAAGGGAAGAGATGATGAGAGACGTTGTGGTTTTCTCAGAAGTGCTGAAAGTCCTCTATCTGCCACCTTTCATTACGTCCAGCGTTGCAGCGGCGAGGTGTGTGTGTGTGTTTCTGGAGGCGGCTGCACCTGTGCGCGGCTCTCATGCTCACTGTAGTATTTACAGCAGGACCCTGAAGGTCAGCTGTAGGCACATCCTGACAAAGGGCAGAGGGACGCGAGGCTGCCCGCGTGTATGTGTGTTAATGAGAGATTGGCATCACGCCCGCGGGGCATCGTTAGCGGAGGAATGTGGGTCAAGGCAGATTGACTGCTCTTTTACCCGCTCTATCAGTCCGTCCACGACCGTCATCTGTCTCTCTCATACATTACACTGTGTCTCATCAGTCCTGTGCTTCTTTCACAGCCTCTGTGTGTGTTTCTCACTTTCTTTGTCTTCTACAATCAAAGAAAGAATGACTTTTATCCTACATGTCAATGAATCAAATAAGAATAAACTTAATTCTTTAAGTTTTTCTTTTTTTTTTAAAATTCTAATGCATGACTGAGTTACTGAGTTAATGTTTTACTATTAAGTCAAGTGATTTTTTTTAAATTTTATTGCACTTTTCACAATTTATGTTTTGTTAGTGCAATTTTAATGCAAAATTATTACATAGAAGCATGCATTAAGGCCTCTAATAAACAAGTTAAAAACTCTGTAGGATGAACAGAATTGATTTTCAAGTTTGTTATATAAATGTAATTGTACTAATTAAGTTTTATATATTTTTGTTTTATTGTATTATATTTATATTTTACCATTTTTCCCTGCTTATTTTAACATTAGTTTTTGTAGAGCAACAAAAATAATCATCTTTATTTAAATCTTTATTTTAATTTTAATCATTTAAAAAAATATTTTTTTGTTGCTCTGACAGATATTTATTTTATTGACAGATGTTCCTTAATGAAAAAATAATTTATACTTTGCAGTAAATAAATACGTAAAAATGTCTTTTTAAAGACATTGAAAAAACATTTTACATTTTTATTTATTTTTCAAATATTTTTATATAAGTTTTTAAATATTTTAAATCTTAACAGTTAGCAATCATAAGTCTGCTAACACCCTATCATGAGCAAAGATTATATCAAATTCTATCTTAGAATTCTATTTAAATACTTTTTTTCTTCTCACACTTCTGTTTTAATAGAAAAGAATTTAAACAAAACTATTGTACAATTCAAAACTATTTAATTCACAACATTTCATTTTTACAGTCTTTCAGAAATAACCAACTAAACTGTAAGTTGATGTAATTTAACTAATCATTTTTTATTATTAATAAAAAGCATTAAGAACAGGGCACAGTGAAAGCAATTAAATTATGGCATAATTAAAAGAGAAGCACAAGAGACTAAGATATCACTCAAATGCCTCTCTATACTCTTTATTCTTGATTATTTATTATTTGCTCCTGGCATTTTGCTTTGGGTGGAAAGAAAGAACAAAAAAAGAGAAGAAAATGAAGAAATGGACCAGATTACAGGCAGGAAATGAAGGGGAGGATGAAATGTCCCGCTGTGAGGCATGAGTTTTGGTGCTCGTATCTCGGGGTGTTGAGACAATGAGAGCCCCGAGTCATTTCGGTTTAAAGAAGACGAGTGGCGATGAATTTCACCAAACTTTCGTCTATTACAGCACTCAAAGAAAGAATGAAATCACATCTGCAACCATCTGCCGCAATCTGTCTGTCTGTCTGCAAATCCTCCAGTGTTTTGCTTGTTATAGATAATTCACAGGAACGTTGTGTGTGTTCGGTCATATTGCGGTTACGTCCCCCTCCTCGACCCGTTCTCTGGTTTTAACTGGACATCAAACGCTGCTGTTAGCGTTAATCAATTAAATTATTTTAGAGTTGTTCTCACTGCGGGACATTCTTTGTGGTGTGTCAGTTTTAAGGCCCTCGGGGTTCGGTCGGACGCCGGTCGATGACACTCGCATGAACACTCTGATCGTTGTGTGTTAAATATGTATTGTCTCGCTTAAATAGGGACGCTTGCTTAAAGCATCGACATGCCGCGACAAATCCAAGAACTGATCACACACACAAACACAGGGCAACAGCAGCGAACAAAACAGATGATTGATTGGAAAGCAAATCGTCTAAGATATATTGGCATGTAATGCATTTTAAAGTTTTAGGCAACTCTTATTTGAAATTATATCATTGTTCTTTTGTGTGAAGCACGTGTGAATGTGTTGTAATTTTGTGTGGACTGTGTGTGTGTGTGTGTGTGTGTGTGTCGTACCTCCACAGTAGTTCAGCAGAATGAGTTGGATGGTGACGCATGATTTTTTCTCATTTTAACTCTTGATGAAGGATCTAGAAAATAAACAATATATAAAATTAATTTCAGCTTTGACTGTCATACATAAAAGATGATAATGTTGGTAGCCAAACAGCTTTGGTTACCACTGACTTCCACAGTATTTACAAAAAAATAGGCACATTTAATGATATTTTGTGTTCCACAAAAGAAAGTCATACAGGTTTGGAATGACATGAGGGTGAATAAATGACAGAATTGTACTTTTTGGGTGAATCAACACTTTAATTAATGGAGCTGCTTACTTGCAGGAGTCGACGACAAAGACCACATCGTTGATAGTAATGCTGGTCTCAGCGATGTTGGTGGACAAAATTACCTGTGGTGTGTTCGCAAAATTTGTTTAAAACAAATGCTTTAATATATCAATTCCTAAACTGCACAGTGAAACATCTACAGACCTTAGTCACACCCTCAGGAGTGGGCTCAAACACTCGTCTCTGTTTTTCCCTGGGGATCTGAGAGTGAAGGGGCAGGATTCGGTATTGATGACCACCTTTGAGGGACACAATATTGGAGGAATCACTATGAGTTATATTACGAGATCAGGGGATACAAGCCATCCGGAAAAAAGATTTTGCTTGTGTGTGAGCAGAATATCATTACAGACCAAAGTGTGGGTTCATCTCCAGGTGTTTCTGCATGGAATAGATGAGGTTCCAGCCTGGCAGGTAGACTAGCACAGCCCCTGGTACTTCCAGCGTTTCAATGTACTTCAGCAAAGCCTCGATCAGCTCGAACGGAGTTTCCTTCTCATTCAACTGAGACATGGCACGCTTGGTTTCAGCAGTATACTCAGATCCACAGATGACATTACAGTTCACCTGTAGAACACAGAAATACAAGTCAAGCATTTCCAGGCTCAATTTAAGTACATTTAATTTAAGTAAACTATTATCTGATCAGTGCTGTGGAGTAAAGTTTAGTTGGTTAAATGCAGCTGTTCATCAACTGTTTTCAAGGTATGAAAGGTGTTTTATTTCTAGTGGATATAACGTTAAAAATTTGGGGCTGGTAAGATTTTTTATTTTTGAAAGAAGTCTCTTAAGCTCACCAAGGCTACATTCATTTTATTAAAAAAAAAAAAAAAAAATCAACATTTAATAAAAATGTTAAATGACAGTGTCTAATGTGCAAATGTCACTGTAATCTAATTGATTTAAAAAAATACATTTTAATTGTTATTTTATTGTTAATTATTCATTTAAATGTAACAATAATAATAATAATAAATTTAATTTAATCATTAAAATTAATTATAAACAAGGCATTACTTGTTATATTTATAAATATATATTTATATATATATTACAAATTCTGTTATATTTTTAAAATCCAATTTCATGTTTATTAGCAATATAATAAAGTATGTATTTTATGTCTTAATGTATAGCATCCTTTCAAAGAGTCTGGAGCAAGATGTCACACTTTAAACTCAAGGAAATATTTGATATATTTTAAAATAATTTTTGCATAGATGCATACTTTTCAATAAAAAGCTGTTGTTGTCTATAGAAAAAGATACAGTTTGTTAAACACAAGTTGACCTTTTGTGACAGGACACTATATGGGGTAAGTTGTCACAATGGAACTTATCATTCTACAGCCTATAATAGATTTTTATAGCAACATTTAAACTGAAGGACAAGTATGAAATGCAAAACAGTCAATGAAACGGCAGTAAAAAAGATAACAAATATTGTACTTAATTCAGTGCCATTTCAGCATTTGAAACCCATGTGACAACTTGCCCCAATATTAATCTGACAATGTGGCCCGACCGTTTTATGCTAACAAATAAAAAAGAGAAAAACCTGTCTCAAGAACAGTTTTTGCTTAAAGTTAACTTTTGTAGTTTTACTTTGTATTTCAAGTGTAGTTTAATGTGTTCACAAACACTTATAACAAAAATATGACAAATATGGAATTTTAATTTTGTGCATAGCACTCACAAAATGATTCTACTTTAGGACCGTTTTGAACTTGAAAACAAACACTCAAACTACTCCTAGATTGTGTAATTGGCCCTTTTACTCAAAACCTTAGATATTATAAGCTATATAACACGCGTGAACCATGTGAATTTTAATTTTACACATTTAGTATGCATCATCCATCATATGGATTACGTATTTTATCCTGCATTATTTTAATGTCACATAATATCATCCCATACAGCTTCTTTTCAAAAAAGTGAATCTAGACTTTTTCATTTGATTGTCAGCAGTTCACATTCTGATGCACACCGCTGCATTTGAGATGTTCAGGCACAGAATGATTTCAGTTATGCATAACAATCACACAAACTATACATAAAGTGGTTAATCTGCTCTAAACTCTTACGTCATAATAACTTTATACGCAGATAACGGTTTGACTTACCTGCTGCGTGTCTGTGTCATGTTCCGTTCCAGAGGCGGCCGGTGATGTGCGTTCGGGTGTTTTATGAGGGGAGAGCGATGCGCGCACACACACACACACACACACACACACACACACACACACACACTCACACTCACTCATACACACATGGATGAACAAGAGAGAGAGGCAGATATATATATTCTCTAGGAGGGATGCCTTGGGGCAGTACAATCAGGCACAGGCCCCTCCTGCCTCCCCTGCTATTGGCACAAGCTCAAGTGGGTCCAAATTAGCAAACTGGCCCGGTACAGTCCATTAAGGAGAAGTCGAGACTCTTCAGTCTCGCTGTACTGGGACAGTTTGCTTAATTGGGCCGGAGTGCAATTTAAAGTCGCTGATGGAAACTTGAGCAGCCTTATCACAACACTTTATGGAATTGTGTCTGAGTTTAGTTTCAATTTAGTGTGTTTTATTGCTGTAGCAAGGACCTGTACATTGTATTGCCAAAGCAGTATGAATATTGTGGTGCTAAGAAGTTTTATTAACAATTAAAATAAAGCATTAAATTAAAGTTTTAAAAAATGTAATTAAATTAATTAAATTGTCCTAAGCAGTACTAAACAGTTTTTAACAATAACAATTTTAACAATTAAAATGAAACCATATTTAAATGAAAATTAAATATTGCCCAAAACTATTAAATTAAATTAAATTAAATTACATTACATTACATTACATTAGATTCAAGCCTAAAGCAACAGTTTGGTAACAATTCAAATAAAACTATTTAAATTAAATTTGATTAATTAACTTAAAATATTAATGTGATAGTTTACTCAAAAACAAAATAAAATAAATATTGCCCAAGACAGTGCAAAAGTGTCAACACATAATTTTGACATTGTGATAGTTTATTCATAAATAAAATAAGTTAAAATTAAATTAATTAAATATCCCTCAAAGCAGTGCATAAAAGTTTTCATAAGAATTAAAATACAACTGAAATTAAATTTAATTTAATGAAATTAATTGATTAATTTAGATTAAATGAAATGTTGCCTAAAGCAGTGCAAAAAAGATTTAACAATGAAAATAAAACTGTATTTGAATTAAAATAAATACAATAAAAATAAATATAAAATAAATAAAACAAATATAAAATAAATGAGTTGCTTCAAAAGGAAATTAAATGCATATTAAAATAAATTAAAAATGTGTTATTAATAATAAACCGATATTAACAACTCGCAAGGTTAACAAGAAATACAGTGCAATTTTAAATTTCAACACTCATGTCATTGTTTACTCAAAAAAAAAAAATATCCGTGTGTGGATCGACATGAAGGTGAATAAATGTTTAACTATTTCTTCAGTTGGGTATTGGAGTGGAATTTGATGTGGCCATCAGAAACGTCCCTTTACCTTATGGACTTCTGTCTCTAAGTCTCTCACTCTGCATTCGCGGTTTGACCCAGTTTGTCTCTCTAGAAAAGCATGAAGCTGCAGAATCAAGTTTTAATGTGCACTGCTAACAGTGCATGATGGATCGGTAAATAAAGGCCGAACACCATCAATCATTCATAACATACTGTATATGTGGTTTGGACGTAGAAAGCTTGAAAGCAGCGATGAAAAATAAACTTTCTGAATAATCAAAGGACTCCACTTCTCCATATCTCTGAGATGTTTCAGTACGGTCCTCATCAGTGTTTTTGTGGTCGGGTCTGTCTGTGGATCTCCAGCGTAATGCAGTGGTCTCTCTCCACAACCTGCATAATTTAATATCTTTAACACAAACTAGCCACACAATTCACTCACGACTGTAATAGTTCAAAAAGACATCTCTGCGAGAAGTTCATGGTTGGTCTCTGAGGAAACAGATATGATGTTAATGAAATAGTAATGAAGTACTTTTTACATTCATTCAAAAAATGAATAAAGTGACTTACAAATAAGAACAGTACAAGTCAAATCATTGTTTTAATATTTTTATTTATAGAAGCTCACATGCATTAGCATTTGGCATTTAAAAAGTTAGCCTTTATGTTGATTTTGGTAGCTTTGAAATGTTTGGAATTAAAAATTCAATTGTCTCAGCTCAAAGAAATGATCATTAATCTTTATTTTTGTCATGTTCCCTGTAAAATTACTTATCATAATAAGCATACATGTATTTGAGAAGCAAAACTGCATAATATATTAAGACTTGTTTTCAGAGTGTGTAATAGTAATAATTATTAAAAGTTTCAATTAAATATGAATTCAATTACATTTTTATTACACTGACAAAATGTGTTTAAGTCAATTGGCATTTATTTATATAGTGCATTATATTTATACAACAGAAATATTTGTTATAGTTCAAAACCGTTTCAAAGCAGATGAATAAACAGGAAAATAATGTTGTAAAATTAATAAATTAATAAATTAATTCAATTCCAGCTGCAAAGTAACTACATAAGATAATAGTGTCATTATTCAATTCAGTGTTGTTTAAACTTAGTTTAGTATAACTAACACTCAAAAATAAAATATGACCCTGGAGCACAAAACCAGTCTTAAGTCGCTGGGGTATATTTGTAGCAATAGCCAAAAATACATTGTATGGGTCAAAATTATCGATTTTTCTTTTATGCCAAAAATCATTAGGATATTAAGTAAAGATCGTGTTCCATGAAGCTATATGTAATTTCCTACTGTAAATATATCAAAGCTTAATTTTTGATAAGTAATATGCATTGCTAAGAACTTCATTTGAACAACTTTAAGGTAATTTTCTCAATATTTAGATTTTTATGCACCCTCAGATTGAAGATTTTCAAATAGTTGTATCTCGGCCAAATATTGTCCGATCCTAACAAAGCTTTCAGATAATGTATAAATCTCAATTTCGAGAAATTGACCCTTATGACTGGTTTTGTGGTCCAGGGTCACAAATATGTTTTAAAATGTGATTTTATAGTGACATTTTTATATACTGCATTATATTTATACAGTACAGAAAGTGTATAAATATAGTTTAAAAGGTTTTAAAGCAGCTTCACATTAATAAACAGTAAATAACAGCGTTAATATTTAAAAATTAATCAATTATGAAACAAATTCAATTTCAGCAGCTCTACATATCGTGTCATTATTCAGTGCAGTGATGTTTTAGTTCAGTACCTGTCAGTGTTGCAAAGTTCATCAATTATGTTAGATTTATGCTGAACCATTTATAGGATTTTTTTCCACTAAAAACTAGTTAAAATACTCATTTTGATGCATTTGAATTCTTTGCGGTTTTTTTGCAGTGCAGCCTTGTTTTGGGCATGTTAAATAGATGGTTTAATGTCATGACATCAGTGAGCGAGCGGGTGATGGTTTGTGAGTGTTTATGAGCTCAGGTCCTTTGAGTGGGGGGTTGAGCCCTTCCTGGAGGATCAGGCGTGCTGTCAGACACACGAGAGGAGATGAACTGTGACAGCGTGATCCGTAGGGCCTAACCATCTGTAGAAACCGAGAGAGAGAGAGAGAGAGGAGGGGGACTGAGAAAGAGTTATAGGTGAAAGAGAGAAACCTGCCTCTGTTATGAGCAATTTATGAGGAATAAAATGACATTTCTGTCATTGACTCACCGTAGTCACATCATTTCTTTTTTTTTATTAGCTGTTTTTTTTCTTCGTATTTTCATTTTAATTGTGTTCATTTTGTTTGTCTTTTGTCATTTTTATTAGTTTTTTAAATATGTCAGTATCGTATTATTATTTATTAATTTATTCATATTTATTTATTAATAATTATTTTAGTACACATGAGAATGTCAATCTACTAACTACTTTTCTTTCAAATTAAAATTAATTTTTGAGATCTATAAGGCTTGAAAGCTACACTCCTAAAGAGACGTATTATATTCTATTGCTATATTATACTAAACTTAAAACTTATTGGTGAAAGAGAGAGACCCTTCATCCGTTATGAGCAAAATATAGGGTGTTTATGAGGAATAATTTATCCAAAAATTACATGTAGTCTCTGTCATGACATTCCAAACAATAGCAGTTTGTGGTGTTATTCAAAAATGTCATAAAAATCATCATAAAAGTCGATTATATGACCTGTACATATTATTCAATATGTTACAAAGTCATCTGATATATATTTGAGTGAGAACAGACCCAAATTTAATTCACAGTCATTGCAAAAATGATTTTCTTACTTAGTATTTTTTTTTTTTTTGCTTTACAAATTCAAGATATCAAGATACATTTAATTGAAAAGGAAAATGATTTTAGATATTAAGTCTTGTTTTCTAAAAAATGTATAAATTTGAAAAAATTCGAAGAAAAAAGTATTTTTTTCTCTTTTGATTGAAGTTTATTTTGTCTTGACAGAAAATAATGTTTTAATCAAAAACTCGCATCATTTTGATACATTTAAAATTTTAAGTCATTTTGCTTCTCAAGTAAATGTATCTCGATTTAAGAATGTTTAGATACAAGACAAAAATACCAAATAAGAAAATAACACTAGTTCAGGAGTTGCATCTGAGAAAAGATGCTAATCTCGCATGTATTTCCTCTGGAGTTTAGGAAGAAATGTCTCAAACTGTGCTCAGATTTTGAGCATTTTGCACTCAATTTAATCCAAGATCACATGATCTGAGCCACTGTAAACACTTTGATTTTATAGCTTTTGCTGTACGTCTCATTTGTGTCTCTTTTTTATTTCTCCTAAAGAAACATCTGAAACAAAGTGCTTAAATGAAACACAGGGTGTCCTGATCTATGATAGAGCATCCTCTGAGCACTAAAAAAAATTCCTTGAGCGTTTTTTCCCCCACATTATTTGAACCCGTTCACTGATTCATGAGTGTGTGTACCTGAAGATAATGAACTGTATTTGTGTGTGTGTATGAACCTCAAGATGAAGCACACACAGGCACACACTGCTGGGTCAATGCAGCGATCCAGTTATACATTTTCACAGGGTACATCATAACTTTAATATCAACACATTTACCAAAAGAGATTACACACACACACACACACACACACTCCTGCACGGTATGGTCCTAAACTCTATGAATAGTTTATAATAATAAGTAAATGTAATGATAATTCTACATAACCATTGGGTGTATGTT